AATTAATTAAAAATTACCTCTTAGATAATTAAATTTTAATAAAATGATGAAAAATTTATTAATAATTAAAATATCATACTGAAAATAAAAAAGATACAAAAAAAAAAAAAAAACAAAAAAAAACAAAAAAAAAAAACAAAATAAACGTTCTTTTCTAAAAGCCACTGATTTTTATTCTACGTATGGCAATTCATCCAAAGCTCGTAAAAAAATTGAAAAACCATCACAAGAAAGGCTTCAATTATACAAAAAAAAAAAGCCACGCCCCCAAAATACCCAAAAAACGTACTAGAACGTGGGCTAATCGATGTTATTTGGTACTCGAACCATCATTTAGGTCGTAAGAAATTATCCGTTAACCACTCCCTTCGCAAACATACGGCTCAAAAACTAAATGACGCTGGTGTGGATATCCAAGCTGCTATGAATATTACGAAGCATTGTACTGTAGAGGCATACAGTATAATATGTATCGCACACAGAATGAATTAATATTGCGAAGTTAGTAATATAATACTGTTTACATATATTTATAAAATTTTTTATATTTACAGAATAATGACAATAATGCAGGCGATAAAGTTAACTATGAAAATATAGAAGCTGCCGACAATTGTGACAATGAAAATATTGATAAAAATTATGCCGATAATGATAAAAACGAAGAAAGTGAAACATGTACAACTATCCGGTCCCAATCTCGGTCCCCCATTTACTTCTTTATCTATTACGCAAGCAACTCAAGAAGATACCGCTCAAGGATTTCGTTCTAATGTTTTCAATTTTTAACTTTACTAATTGTAAAGTCAAAATTTTTCTTAGCCGCTGAAAAGTTTTTTTTTAAATGTAAAAAAACATTGCTGTAAATCTGCTGTAATAACTACCCGGGTTGTTATTAAAGGGTAATACCCCGGATGTGCTTAAAAACTATAATAATGCTTCACTATTATATTAATGCACATAATAAAAAAATCGGGGTATTTTACTTAATAATTTACTG